TTTGCTGATTTATATTCTGATTGTGTCTGAAACCATTTCATTTATCCTAATGAGTGTGCGTTTGTGCTATTTATCCTAATGAGTGTGCGTTTGTGCTATTGTAAAAATTAATTTACCAGTTTGTCAATGTTTACTCCAAGAGACACCAGGGTCACAAATGAGCTTCTTTTTTTCATTTTCAATATATTTCTGGTTTTATCTTACAGAGTTCATCTTTCTAACAGACACATTTGTTTAAGTTGTGATATTGCAAGTGTTGCTAATTTTGAAAATCAGGTTCATCAGGGTGTCTCAGTGCCAGCAGAAATGTACTTTAATTTTAAAATGAACACTGACAAACTGATCATACAAAACAAGGTATAAGAGGTGTAAACTGGAAAACAGCGTTATTTGTGAATCCTCCAAGAATAAAAAAAAATAACTTATTAATGAGAGTTAGATTAATTTCAGGATATTTTTATCTTTTAATCTCTACATGTCCTGTTTCCTCTTTTCCATTTGTCATTAGAGACACTCCCACATGAGGAATGAGTCATGTTTGCAGGCTCCCACAGTAAATCTTTGTGACATTGTAATAACACCTTTATGCGTCTCATCTGCTGAAACAAATTTCTCTACTCAAACAGAAACTGCTTCAGATTTGTCAAATTGTAGAAAAAAAAAGATTTTGTCAAAAATCTGCCATAATTCTTCATGAGCATCTATTTCAAAAAAACTTTCTCTTTCCAGCTGTTTTTAGCTTGTTTGTTTGATCAGTGGACAAATAATATCCCACCCTGTTGGTCCCATCTGCCACCCCAAAGTCCCCAAGGGCCACAGCTCTCCTGCATCACAGCAGAGTTGGAAAGTTTAGAAGTGATCAGAGGTGGAGGGGGTGCACAGTCACCTCCTCTCCTGACACAAACACCTCCCTCCCTCCTTCCCTTCATGCTCAAAAGGAAACTCCTGCAGTCTAGTGAGTGTTCCCCGAGTGACAGGATTCTCTCCAGGAAGTTTGATGTTGAAATTAAAGCCGTGGGATTTTTATTTTATCTTTTTCTGTGYATAAAGTCACGAGAACCATGTAGCAATGCAGGAAACCTTATTTTTTCATTTATTTTTAGTGTTTATTCTAACTATCCTTGGTGCTGAGAGATGGACTTTGACACGGGACGACGCAATGGGATCCTTCGTTGAAGATCAAGGTTTGCATCCTGAAACGTTTTTAGAATTGGACAGTCTTCTCTATTGTTCTKTGCCTAAATATTCCTAAAAGTATGTGTTCTCCTTTTTGTACTTTTACAGTTTTATGCACAACCAAATATCTTCAGAAGTGAAATGCTGTAATGATTTTATTTAGTTCAGAACATTTATCTCAATCACCGCGAATCTAAAAGGCATCCTCTCATTGCCAGTCTTATTGCATTCTACTTCAGATTAAAGAATAAAATTATAAACGGATTATTGACTGAAAGAATGTTTCAATATTTGCCCCTGATCTGAGCTTCATATCCTCCATGTTGCCGCTCTAATCTTCAAAACTGGTCTGACTGACAGGACAATGAGCGGCTTTACTTCAACCGGTTTTTTTTTTTTCAAGACCCTGTAAGACTTTCTGAGAAAGTTAAAAACCTTCCTAAAGGGTTTTTAAATTAGACAAAAAAAAAAAAGCTGTTTGTAAGCAAACAAGTGAAACAAAGTCGGCGAAGGCCCGTCCCACACATACACAGGTAGCTCAGGTATTACTTGTGGTTTAGCCTTCAGGACTGTAGAAGACACTCCTTATGACTGTGCTGAACTGTCAAAACATGTCCATAAAATCTGAAGACAGTTTGAATTTGCATGATGTTCTGGCTGCTTTCACCGTGACCCCAAGACCTAAATAAAAATAGGAAACAATTTTTAAAAACTGTAAAACTTGATGTTAGCTGAACCTTTTAAGCTGATACCTTCAGAGTTTGGGTTTGACAAAAGCGAAGGAAATGCCTCTCTCTGTCGGCTTTTCCTGCAGGAAGAAGCTGAACTGTGATCTAAAGTTGGAAAATGACGACAGGACAAGAGCAGGAAACCCAGACATTTCCCAGATATGCCGCCCTCAGGGTTTCTTTGTCTTCTWAACATCTTTGAAGCTTTGATTTGAGCAATTTGATGACTTACTCTTTGAATCGTTTTGTTTTGTCTATTWTTTTGACTCGCATCTCAGCAGATATTAGGCCTTCGTAATCATTCTACAGACAGCGACGGCACGTGTAACGTCTAAAATCACATAAACACTCACCTGTCTGCCAACTTATTTCAATAAAAACTGCTCGTTTCTCGTCTCGGCATCATGCAGCTGAGTCAGAGCAGCAATTACAACAATCWGACTCGAAGTCTGGTTTCAGCTCCGAGCATCAGGTGGGCCCTCGTCATTTCTCCAGCGTGTTGGAGCAGCTTGGGGTAGTCTCATAAAAATACCTGCGGCAGCACCGATGAACTGCTGCTCAGCTCCTCGCTCTGAGTCGCTCTGAATGAGTGAGCTGGCTCCAGRTGAGGTGGCCATCAGTAAAACTGGGAATAAAAGCTGATGTCTGTCTTTGGCTGTACTGCAGCAGACTGTGATTCAGTGTTGAGCTGAAAGCGAGGACAAATAGATGTGTGGTTGTGTTCTGTCACTGAGTAATGTCACCGTCTCCATCACTTCTCCCTGTGCTGTTTGGAGCACCACACTGTGGTACACATGGGTCTTACAACTGTAACAACTTTAAACCTGAATTCAGAAACAGAATTTGTCATAAAAGCATTTAAAATGTTGGTATAGACACTATCTTACTTTTAACTATGTACCCAAACAGAGTTAATCTATTGTTAATGAACATTTGATAAATCAATACATAATAAACCTATACATTTAGCAAAATGTCTTRTAAATCACTGGACAACTTTTATAGAAATTTTCAGAAAGTAACCATTGAATGCACATCTACAATTTTTTGAATTTCAGCATCAACTTGTTTCAAAATGGCCACCACAGCTAATCAATCACAACAAATAAAAATGATCATAAACTCAATCATTGCTGTATACTAAGCAAAAAGTTATGTGCAGCTCATAGTTTTCTGCAACAAGTAATCCGAGAACTTTTATAGTCAACCCTCTTTCAGCTAAATATCTCATGATATTACTGTTTATTAGTTTTTTTGACAGAATTTTTGTTGGAAGTTTGTTGAGGTATTAAAAACCTAAAACTTATGCCACAGAATTGTTTCTGCAGTTTAATATGACTTATTTTTGGTTTTGTAGCATATCAAAACTGCATTTTTGATACAAATAGCATATAACATCAAGCGTGGACTTAGACTTTGATAGTACGTGTGAGAGGGTTTGATAGTGTATGTGAGAGCAAGTTTGAATTATGGCCTGAAGGGCCTCTCATAGATAAGAGMCAATCAAAGTTTAATTTCAAGCAGARGTTTTACCTGAATTCCTCCCCTGCATTGTTGTGTTTGCGTTTAKTTTACAAACGTGACCACAGCTGTTGTATCTTTTGGTCCCTTCAGGTGGTGTTTGTGTCGGTGGAAGTCATGGAGCATGAGCTGAACTGCAGCTCCCTCTGTGAATCTCCACTGTGCTTCATCCAGTCTGGAGTCAGCAGGCAGGACAGCGTGGACATTCTGCAAAAACTATGCAGTCTGAACTCTGTAAGCTTTTTCTCAAGCGCTCGCATCAGTACACGTTTCATCACAACAGATACACAGATATGCTACACGTATGTTATTTGAGATACCCAGGAGGTATTTATGAAGTACTCTTTAGTGATGCATTTTACACTTTCACATAGTGCTGAAAGCTGGGGTGTAAGATAAGAGGTTATTTTCTACCGATCTGGTCAAGGATTCCAATCTGGAACATGGAGWTCAAGTCACCTACTTCATGTCATGTTCCTTCAAGTTCAGCTGGCTCATTTTCTGGTTGCTCTCTGCTGAAAGAGAAACTTGTAAGTAAACACTGTTATCATAAATTGTTTCAAATAGATGGTTACACTGTGCTATTTAAAAAAATCATGAAAGATTATAACTTTGATAGTAACCCATGTCAGACTGTACGATTGCAAATTTAAGAAACGACTCTTCGGTTTTGTGCTGCAAAATCTGCAGACACTAAACATGAGAATAAGACYGACGAGAACATTTTTGTTTAGCTTTTCGTTGGGATGAAGACGTGYGCTGCAGCAGCAGTCATATTGTGAATTTTTTTTACAAAATGACACTGCTTGATTTTTGATGTCTTTGTTCGTGAGAGAACTGAATCAGCAGGTGGGAATGTCRTGCTTAAAGCACAGAATACCAACTCGAGCTCACAACTAAAGATTTTCTTTCCAGTCATTCACAATAACACACATATTTGAAAACTGACTAGAACATCAATCAGAACATTAGCTTGACCATTTCATCCTCTGTAAATAACACACATTCATACCTATGTTCAGTTAATATTAAAAAATGTTCATGAAATCATCCCACCTTTGTCCATTCTTAYATGCTTGCAGCTTAGTCATGTTTATGTTGGCAGAGTTGTAAAGTAACAAAGTAAAAGCACTTTGTTACTTTATCTAGGTAGACATTTGGTTTTCTATACTTTACTTGAGCATTTTTTTTCAGACAACCTCCCTTTTCCCCATGTTTCATCAAAATAAAATATTTTTCAGTTATCTGTACTTCTACATCTTACATTAAAAAAGCATGAAGAGTAGAAAGTCATTACTCTTATTTCATTTTGGCTTGTTTTCATTCCAGCTTAATGTTAAAAAAAGGAAGAAAAATCGTTCCAGAAAAATAACAGTTCTCAGATGAAGTGAATTTAATTTAGGATGAATGAAAAGTATAAATAAATACCATTCTGGCCCCCAATTTATTTGTATGATCCATCACACCTGTAGCTGAAACGGGTAGACTAATGTATTTTACATTTTTCAACCTTAACATTTTAATTTAACATTATTTTCATTATGACTTTTAAAAAATGTTTTTATGTCATTTTAAACTCCAAAAATTCCCTCTATACTTTAACTTTTAATACGTAAATAGATTTTATGTCAGAAATTTACTTTTGATTCTTATGTACAGATAATGTTAGATACTTTAAAATTTTGCTTGAGTAATATTCTTAGAGGTTGACTTTAACCAAAGACATTTTGCAATAAGACACTTAAGTATCACTTTGAGTTTTATACAACACTGTAGGATAGATACCAGTTTCCACCAATGCAGCCCAGTGCACTGCTTAATTTGGCATCRCTCTATTTCTTATTGATTTTTAGCTTTTATGTCTTGTTTTTGTTCATGTACTTTTTAACACAAAGTGCACAAAGATTGAATGTACGACAGGTAAAGTATGCACTGTATATGCATCCATGCCTGTTTCCTTGTTTATTATTCCACTGGAGTGGACAGCTGACTAGGAAAGGTCAGGTGAGGTAAAGGGAGTGGACTGCTGAAGCTATGTTTAGCATCCCTTCTGACACAGATGCCTTTAAGAGAAGAGGGAGCAGGTCTAACACCAGAAGAAGGCGGGCAAGACWAGTGTAACGTGACATTCTAACATAAAAAAACTTGAGGCAGTGGGAGTTAGTAAACACAAACAAGCCTATTTCTCCTTTCACTACAACACAAAGACATGAGGTGAGTTTGCTTTTTGCCTTTTTTTGTGGTAATTCATGCATGCGTTAACCTCAGTGTTACAACTTCCAAACAGAAGAAAAGTTTGTACATTGTTGTAGCAATGTTTGATATGAAAAATCAGCATTTAAAAAAATTATGTGCTTCATTCCTATGATCTTAGGTTAGCAAAAACTGCAGCTAAAATGAAATATTCCAATGAAACCCAACACTGTGTGTTGCTTTTCGTGGATGTAGATGACAGACAAGTGTTTTAAAACCCAACAGAGTTGGACAAAAATACAATGAGCTGAGCCAACCTGTTCCATAAAATGCCACCTGTTTTTATCCTACCCAGATATGGCCACTGCTGCCACCATCCTGTCTAAGGAGCAGCTTCTTTGCCCCATCTGTTTGGACGTGTTCAACCAGCCCGTCTCCACTCCGTGCGGGCATAACTTCTGCAGGGACTGCATTCAGCGGTACTGGCAGAGCGCCAGTCTGCCACAGTGCCCCATGTGTAAACAAAAGCTGTACAAGAAGCCTGACCTGAAAGTTAACACCTTCATATCCGAAGTGGCCTCTCAGTTTAAGAAGTTCTGGGAAAATAAATACAAAGAAGGAGGCGACACGATGAACCTGCCAGTGTGCAGTAAAGGTGAAGTTTCTTGTGACGTGTGCACTGGGAAAAAGGTGAAAGCGTTTAAATCCTGTCTGGATTGTTTGGCTTCATTCTGCGAGACTCATCTGGAGCCCCATCATGTCCTTGCCACGCTCCAGAACCACCGGCTGATTGCCGCCAAGATGAGCATGCAGGACAGAGTGTGTAAGAAGCACGAGAGCCTTCTGGAGCTGTTTTGTCACACTGATCAGATGTACGTGTGCCAAGTCTGCATCCTTAAAGACCACAAGGCCCACCTCACAGTCCGCATAGAGCATGAAAGCCAGAACAAAAGAGCTCAAATTAGAAACTTAAACGTGGAGGTACAGGGAATGATCCAAGATCTCAAACAGAAAATCTGTGACATCAAACAAAACATTCAGCTTAGTAAGAAAAACATGGAAAAAGAGATCGAGGAGAGTTTACAGATTTTCAACAATCTGCTCCAAATTGTTCAGCAAGGCCAAGCCGAGGTGGCTGAGGTGATCAAAGCAAAGCAAAGGCAAGTCGAAACCAGGGACAGTGGGATTATAATGGAGATGGAGCAGGATATTGACCAGCTGAGGCACATAAGCACTGAGCTGGATCTGCTTTCAAGCACCAGTGATGATCTCYACCTTCTCCGGAGCTTTCCAGCTTTTTCAACAGTGCCAGCCATCACTCTTTGGTGCAAAACTCGTGGACAAAGTGTGGAATACGTGGGAACAGTGAGGAGAGCGATCAGGACAATTGCATGTCAGGTTGAGGAAACAGTGAAAGCTGAGGTGAAGAGGCTTTGCCAGGCTGAATTTCAGAGGGCAAAGTCCTGTGCCGTGGACCTGACTTTGGATCTTGACACGGCTCATCCCAAACTGGTGCTGTCTGAAAACAAAAAGCAGGTCCATCACGGCGACGTGGCTGTCAGCTGCCATGACACCCCAAAGAGGTTTTACCCCTGTGTTAGTGTTTTGGCCAAGGAAGGTTTCGCCTTTGGCAGGTTCTTTTATGAGGTCCAGGTGAAAGGGAAGACAGAGTGGGATGTTGGAGTGGCACTTGAATCTGTCAACAGGAAAGGAGGGAACATGTTGAACCCTGAGAGAGGCTATTGGACCCTGGGGATGAGGCAGAACGGGAGCTACTGGGCACTCAACAGCCCTCCTGTGCACATACCACTGGTGGAAAATCTCCAGAGGGTCGGGGTGTATGTGGATATAGAGGGGGGACAAGTGTCCTTCTACAACACTGATACTTGTTCTCATGTCTACACGTTCATTGGATACACGTTCGGTGAAAGACTCTTGCCTTACTTCAACCCACGACGGAATCATGGTGGGGTCAACTCGGCTCCTCTTGTCATCTTGCCCGTGAACATCTAAATTACCAGAACATTTGATCTTTTTCTGTTGCTTTATTGATGACAGAAACTTTCTGAAAAAAAGTTGCAAGCCTGTTTTGCTGTTTGTTTCTGAATTTACCTAATAAAATGTTTTCCAAGATGAACTTGTGCCTATATATATTCTTGTTATTACGTCTATTTTCAAGGAAAGAGTGACTTCTGAACACATTTATCAGTAGTCACACAAATGAGCTATATTAAGCTGTGATTTTATAAGAGCTTTGAAAACTYGTGTCTGTGTGTGCAGCTGGCAGCGGAGCTCCCGAGACGTTCGTTATCTTCAGTGCTAAGAGCAGTCGTCTGGACGCTCCTGTCCTGTGGCGTCCTGTCGGCGTTCTGCTTTCTGATTTTCACCCTTCGCTTCAGAAACAACAGGTAGAGCAAGAAGCATAGAGCAGCATTCAAGTTTGAATACATAGAGTCATTATAGTGGTCAGTAACTGCAGATTACTTATAGTCACTTACAGTTTGATGTTTGTGTCGATTCGTCAGGATAGTGAAGATGTCCAGTCCCAACCTGAATGTGCTGACTCTCTTTGGAAGCGTCCTCACTTACATCAGTGGTTATCTTTTCGCCATCGATGAACAAGMTTTGGCAGAAACTGGAACATCTATAGATGTGCTGCAAGTAGGTATCCATTTATGCTTCTTTTGCTGGATTTATATGATGAGTTATGATGATTACAATAATGTGTCCTACAGGCTCGGACATGGACATTGTGTCTTGGAAGTACCCTGGTGTTTGGACCRATTTTGGGGAAGACGTGGAGGCTCTACAGAGTGTTCACACAGCGAGTGCCTGATAAGAGAGTGGTAGGCATTCGTGTTCATCTGGTTTCCAACCYTGATTTTAAATTATTTACTCTTTTAAAAGCTGCTTTAGAGACAGAAATAAAGCAAACAGCTTGGTGGAGTCTCATGTCCAACTTCGGTATAACAAATAAACAAGTGGAAGTATAGCTGTGGTCATTGTGTTGCTGGCATCAGTTTGAATTATGGAAGTATTGAGAAGTGTTGCATTAGGTAAAAGTATTGCAATATTTCATATTTGTTACCCCTTGCAGATGCAACACCAGCTTTTCACAGTGTTTGATCACACTCTGAGCTCATGCAAGCTCTGTCAGCTCAYATAAATACATTTTCTTAATATCCTTTATGATAAGTTGATAAAAATCAAAATGCTGGTTTTTTTCAGTGCCTCGTGTTATTCTGAATAACCTGAGGAACCTGATTAATCTGTGTATCATGAATAACTTGTGTAATCTGGATTTTGATTCACTAAAGTTGTACTTGGACTAACTTTTGATTTCCAGAGCAACAAAACAATAAAAGCAATGTGATATGTAGCATGTCTGAGAAATTTTGCTTTTTAATAATAATTAAGTTTGTTAGAAAAACATAATTGTGTATGACTGTGACATGATTACTAATTGACATAATTGAATTCGGAGCCACAGAGTCATCTAAAACAACAACACTCCTGCTTCTGGGTGAACAGATTTTGGTTTGATTGTGTATTCTTGTTCTTGTTTTGTCTCAGATCATCCGGGACATCCAGCTGATCGGACTGGTGGTTCTGCTCGTCCTTGTGGACATCCTGGTTCTCACAGCCTGGAACCTCTCAGACCCCATCAGGTGTTCCCGATCTGTCAGAGCTGTTGTCAAGGTAGAATTCAATGTGTAATGTGTACATAAAACTCACAAATGAAGCAGATTATTATTTGATTACTTTTTGCTGTTAACTAATTAATATAACATTAGACTGCAGAGAAGCAAAATAAGCTAATTTTTCTATCTAAAATTATCGAGTGTTTTCTGGTGGGAAAAAAATATTTTTTGGTTTCCATTGCTGCAGGTGGTGGAGAGAGATGTTTTCTCCTCTTTGTCTCAGCTACACTCTTGTTCCTCTGAACACCCAAGTATTTGGCTCATCATGATTGCCTTCCAGAAAGTAAGCACCRTGTGCTCAGTCTCTATTAACTACAYTCATAATRTTATKCAAATTTATTGTCGTCGCAATGACATTTTATTCAATCACATTAAATAGTTGTATTTTCCAAATGCACTGTAATGTATTACAACTTATAGAAAAGAAACCTTGGAATGTATATTTGCAGAGATTGACATGAGTCTTTGAATTGCACTAAGGTTGTTTGATTAAAAATAAATCAAATGCAACAAAAACTCTTGTAGGTTAAAATGAAATTGGAAAGACTCATAACCAAACCATGATTATATTTTATGTATTATCATGTGTTTTGGGGTAGAAAAATGCAGTAAGTGAGTATCTAAATGAGTACCTAAAATGTACTCTAAAATTTTGTTTCTGTTTGTCTGAATGAGGCATTTTAAGCTAAATAACATAAAAACCATTAATATTTGCTTTGAGCACAAGCGCTATAGTTTACATCTTTATATTGCAGTAGAAACAATGATAATCAACAATGACAAAACTCGTTTTAACATGTTAATTTCATAGTTATTTGACTTTTTTACAATTTTCCTCACCTCTTCATCCAGGGTTGTCTTCTCCTTTACGGCACCTACCTGGCYGGACTGACCAGCAATGTCAGCCATCCTCCAGTCAACCAGTCTCCCACCATCATTACWTTTGTCACCCTGGTGACCTTCTTCTCTGCTGTGGCCATCCCCGTGTCCATCTTTCTGCAGGCCTGGCCCAACCTGGTCTACAGCACTGTGGCYGGAGCCATCTTCATCTGCACACTGGCCACCAACTGCATGCTGTTTGTGCCGCAGGTTAGAAACAAACACCAACAGATATGAGGCATTAATGTCAAMATAATGTTTCACAACGCATACTTAGTGTAGAAAGCATGACCCTTTCAGTCTTTGAAAAGAGCCCTGTTTTAGTCAGAGCTGTCGTCAAAGAGCCGATCAAACAGTAACTGTAGGAAGACAGACCAGCTGTGTGAGCAAACAYGTTTCTCTTTCTCTTACTCAGGGGAGGAAAACTAATAAATTTTAAAGGTGACCGTTGTGCTCACAGCTGAAGTTTCGGTGCATGTCAGCAGAGGATGACTCACACAGGAGCTGTCTAGGAGTCAATTTGTCATAAACGGCTGCAAACAGCTTTATGACTCTCCAAGAGACTGTTGAGGGTTTATCTTAACGTAAAGGAATGCATCACCTGTGAAACAGAAGGAAATATTAAARCRATAACCCGTGTGCCCAAAYCCAGCATTCTCTAAAGGCCAGCTCAGATTTCCCAACAAAAGATTTACAATCATCAGTTTGTACAGCATGTTGAACCAGCACAACATGCAGATTTGATATTTTCTAAAGCATCCAACTTGTCTATGTGCAGCTGACCCAGTGGAGGCAGTTTGAGGAGGACCAGAACAACCAGAGTCAGATGGCCAAGTACTTCAGCAGCCCCAGTAAGAGCCAGGCRTCCATGTACAGCCAGGATGAGATCTACTACCTGCTGGGAGAGAACAGCTCCATGAAAAAACTCTTGAGTGAGGTAATCTACTGCTGTTATTGGTGACATCTGCATTTTATTAGTTCGTTTGTATGTGGGGGCAGATAGATCTTGTTTATTGACTCGTTGACAGAGTTATTGCTGCGCAAATTGAACCGTTGATGCCCAAGACAGTTTATAAAGCCAACTCATGATAATACCGGTTGGTTTGTGGTTGGTTGTCGTGCATCACTTTTTTTGTTTTCTGGGGCAATAAATGATTTAGGCAAAAGGAAGACACTGAAGAGTGATATTAGGACCTGATTTGACTTTACTCTAAATCTGGCCAATGATGTCATTATGATTTCTAAGCCAAATCTTTTGGGGTTGACCTACCAATGAATGGTCAACAAATTAAGTCGATTGTTCCCTTTTTTTACACAAATGTTATTGTTCACACSTGAGCACACTAAACCAATTAGAAGGGAACACCTGTTGTCATACTGTAGGTACATGTTAAAACACATGACTGGAACACAGAAGTTGAAGCCACACAGAATGAGCACTCCTTCTGGTCGGCAGGATGTAGCACAATTTTGAAGTTCTGCCCCTCCATGTGAACAAATATTACATTTTTCTGACAAATAAATAAATAAAATTATGCAGCATTTTTATTTACAGGTGTTGGCAATTATAATTCACATGGCTCTTATGTTGCTGCTGTATGTTCAAATACGCATTTTAATTTCAGTTAGTTAAATAGGGGCTTAAAAATGTACAGTGTATCAGACATTTTGGTTTCAATTTCAGACAATGGAAGTTAACAAAGATGCTTTATTTTTGTCAAGATAGCGTCTCACCTAGACATGTGTCAGCTAAAAATATCAGTCTTTTTAATTTTGCAGCTGTTCAGAAAAATCATAGAGAATTTGGATTTTAAGCACTGAGGTTAAAAGTTTAAATATGTTAAGCATGAATCAAAAAAGTTGAGATAATTATAATTCAAAGACAACATTCTACACAGACCAGTTTTCTCAGTTTTTAATGTAATTGTGTGTTGTACATAACTATCTGACATATTTATGACTCCAATTGTTTACACAGTTTTTTCTTCACTTTCTCAGAAGAATGCTGCCATTGACAGCCTTCAGGAACAGGTAAGCAACGCCAAGGAGAAACTCCTGAGACTTATGACAGCGAGCCAGCTCCTCGAGGACGAGGACATGGATTCTTCACCCACTCAGCTCAACTCCTTCTCCACCAAGACCACTGAACTTCGTTCAGAAAGCCCCTCTTCTTCCTTTTTATTCCAGAGGGAAACCAAATCTAGACTTTCAGAACATCWTCTGTTGAATAACCCACCTTTTCCCCATGTTTCATCAAATGTGGTTAAACCTTCCTGTGATTCTGCCTCTGTCCAAAACCCCTCCCTCCCTCTGTCTGTTTCACCCTCCATCGCAGAGGATACTCACACAAGTGAAACCCAGAGAGACGTTTCAGTTTCTGGACATGCAGACAGAGACACAGCTCTGTCCAAAGAGGACAAGGATCTCAAGCGTCCTCTCACTTTTCCTTGCAGGACAGCAGAGGAAACAGTTCACTTTGTCACCTCTCTCCAAAACCGTAGACGACTGAACTCCCAAGTGGGGATGTTTCTCAAAAACAATGACCTAACCTTGCAGGTGGGACCAAATGCCAAACTGACTGGTTTYGTCAGCAGCGAACAGCTGCAGGAGATCCTCCAGGAGCTGAGCTTGGATGCAGTCTCAGAGACCACCTTTAGATCTCCTGGTCAGGCCTTAAGGACACCCCCACAGCTAAAACCGACCCCTCTGTCACCCCGCTCCCCTCATCCTCCCATCCCCTGTGAATACCCCATCATATCCCCCTACGCAATGAGAAAACGGCGGCCACCTTTTAACACCTCCAGAAGATGTTTGCCCCCTTCTTGCTTCTACACAGTCTCAGAGGTCCCAAACTGCAGAAAGACACATGTCAACTGGGGTCACCAAAACCCAGGGAGCCATACTGTGAATGAAACACTCCTTCATGATACCAACCATGAGGTACAAAAGGAAAATGAGGAAAAAGTGGAAGCCAAAGACAAACAGGAAGAAACTGGAACATGTCAAAGATGCATTTCGAGGTCTGAAAAATGCTCAGTGTGGCATTGCGCCGGGCCTGAGACGAAGGTGGGTGGTAAAGGCGAGCGKCGCAGTCACCACATACGAGACTCAAGTGGTTACTGGGACTCAGACTCAAGCAGCTCCACAGATTATTGCTACTATCATCGTCCTTACTGTGACTCTTGCCTGCAGCGAGGCTCACTGCTGTGCTCAGACAGCTCCTCGGACTCCTCCGACAGTGAATATGATGACTGCACCAACCTCTACCACTCCTCATCCCGCCCCGTGGTGTTCAAAGATGACATCAAACCCACTTTAGTGTGATGAAATGTTTACTGGATGTTATAACTTTGTACTGTACTACACATTTTTACAACTTGAATTCACATTTGACAGGCAAACACAAAGATTCTGTTTTTATACTGAGAGATAGTTTGAACCTCGTATTTTAATGGGGAAGTGTTTTTATTTTTTATTGTTTTTTGAAGAGTAGAGTGATTTTCTTGAAACTTTCAACAACGGACTGAACTGTATTTTATTTATTTGTTTTTGCAATTTTTAAACTTGCAATATTTATAGCTCAAATGCAGAATTTTTTTACATTAGTCAGCTTTAATAATTTTATCAAAATGAGTAGAGATGACAAASACAGCTGTAAAAAGAGACCGTGGCAAAATGTGCATTCTAACTAATGTGCAAAAGGTGTATTTATTTAATTTTTATTTGTGCATGTTTTGGTATTAAATACTTTACTTTACGAGTGCTTCTGAGTAAATATGCCAACGTAGAAATTCAGTCAGTGACAGATAGAGAAAAGGCCTAACAAGCCAAAGATAACCATAAAACTGGGTAAGAAGAAGGTCTGTACCTGGTATCAGCATGGTACCATATAGGCCAACTACTGGGTTTGTCACAAATGTTACCCAGGTACCTATTAAGCATGGGCTTTATAATGTTTTCCATCCATCCATCCATCCATCCATCCATCCATCCATCCATCCATCCATCCATCCATCCATCCATCCATCCATCTATCCATTGTCTTCACCCACTTTTACTTTCCAGGTCACGTGGTCGTTGGTGCTTTTCTCCAGCAGTCGCTGTGCTAGAAGTGGGGTACAACCGAGACTGGTTACAAGTCCATCATAGAGACAAACAAGACAAATAACCAATCACATTCTCACACACACCTTGGGGCAATTTAGTGTCCAGAAACATTCAGTTATGTTTAACTTTGTACTGTACTACACATTTTTACAACTTGAATTTACATCATGTATTATCCATGCAGCAAACATTGCTTGATAGTAAATTGTTTAGGGGCCCTTAAGTGAGACCCAATTGATATGTCCTGTTTTATTTCCTTACTGACCTGAAAAACTATAAGCAGGGGTGGAGCCAGAGGGGTGACTGGGGTGGCAAGTGCCACCCAGGGCGCCTGATTGGTGTGTGGATGTGGGTGGGGAACTTGGATTGTCTTTTTGCATTTAGACTTTGTTAAATATGTTTTCTGATACTATTGAACTATATACATTTTCAGCTGTGTATGTTGAAAAGTGGCTGAATGAATGACTGGCCCTTTGTCAAATTAGAATTAGCATTATTGATTAGCTTAGTTTGGGATTAGCGTCAACAATCTGCATATGGTCATTCTGAGCTACTCCACAACTGCCCTAATGCATCTCAGTAGGTAGGGGAAAAAAAGTAGGTCCTCTGAATGGGTTCTTCTTTAACACTAGGACTCCCAGCATTTTCCAGAAACTCCTWYATTTAYCAGGACCTTGTCAAATGACAGTAATTTGCATCTCTTAGGGGAGATTAAGGATTACATGTTTGCACACTCTGGTGCCGGTGACTCATAGGTCATGACAGCAATTTGCATCTAGCAATTTGCAACTGAAACTGAGTTCTTTGTTTGTGCTTGACTAGCAAACATCCCCCACACTATTCATTCAACCAAGATGGCCACTTTGATGATGTGGCAATACTGATTTGCTACACCACCATTTTGTTTGTTTCCAAGAAAAAATGGCAGTGAAACAACTTTATTCAATTTTATTTCACTCAGCATTGCAGATAGGCTATTTACTTTGGTGCAGTTTATATCCACAAACCATTTGGCCTACTGCCTG